TGCCCATGAAGTCCCGGGTTCGATCCCCAGTGGGGTCGATGGATTCGCACTGCTGATGAGACCCAAACAGGTCGAAACAGCTGTCCAGTGCTTCCTAGCTTTTCAGTTCACGTTTCGTTTGCCATATACACGACGAATAACCTTCGAAATCAAATAAATATTTATATATGAAAATCGACATCGTGTTTACCTGCATCGATTAGTAAAACCTTCGGTTGTCGTTTGTTCCAGCCACCCGGTTGAAACGGGCTGCGTTCCTTCCGCACCAGTGCAATGCAATCCATACTCCGGTGATTTTTCATCTCGATTCACTTCGTTCTTTTTGATAATCTGCATTCTACCTGTTGATTCATCATTTGGTTTTTGGCATTTAAACCTGGCGGATCAATCGCAGAATCCGGTTCATTCTTCTAGCCCGTGGGATACTCTTTCGTCCGAACCGGGTGAGGAGAAATCTAAGGCTTCCAAAAAGAGAAGTAAGTAGTTCATCATTTTTCAGCTTTGAATGGGTGCAATAAACATTTGATTGTTTTCCTGAAACCGTTAGTGATTTTGGAGAAATTGAAAAATTACGCAGGAAGTATGCGTTGTCTTTCTTATTGAACCCGGGTTTTTACCCGAACCGTGTCACATTCAATCCCGAACATATCTTTTTTGTGTTCGCTGGGCGTATCTGACAGGTTTCGGTGAATTCATCACCTCATGTTTAACTTAATTTCACTATGTACCATTCGCATCATGTTTTGTCCTTCGCGAGCGCTATATCAAAGAAAAGCAACATTTCGATAAGCAAGACAACTACTGTAATAAATACCTTCCTTACGTATTCTAACAGATTTCATCCCTCGTGATACCATGCTTCGTAGTCGCTAAACTCAAAGGAAGCTGATCACTACCGCGCTTTCAATAAAAGTAAAGTGAATATGAATGTTCATTAGGTCTAGTTGGATAGACCGTCTAACGGTTGTCCAAATAGTCTGAGCTGTTAAGCAGTGACAAAAAGGACGCCACAATTCTCGGTTCTCTGTCATGGCTTTCGGTTTGACTAACCAGTCAGTCACTAGATACTGCGGATCCTACCCCTTCAGAAGAGGTTGCTTATTGTGCTTTATCTATCCGCCAAGTTTCGCATCACTCTTCCGCACATTCATTTGATTGACAACTGGTTCCGCTACCTTTTGACTTTTCAGTACATATTTTATGTTTCAGTTTTTCAAGCCTCCAACCATACACTTTCGTAGGCCGGTTTCGGTCGCTATCTTGTGACTGCCTATAAGGATAAAAAACAGAAAAAAGATTGGAGTGTTGAGAGCAGCGTCAAACAGAAGATGGAGAACTCACGTTGACTAAGGTTGCAAGGACAATAAGTATATGCACAAATATCACTGTTTGAGATACTCAACCATATCACTGAGTGTTACTAACCACCGGTTACGATCATTCCGGGATACCCATTCACAAAGCCTACAGCGGTCTGTGGGGGCCAGTTTCCTGGTCAGGGTTTTCATACCCTCATACCAGATCTTAGTTTGACCACCTTTGGCTTTTTGCCGACCAATACCTGCCTCGGCAAACATCACCTTCCATGGTAACCCACTTGGTGATATGCACAGCACATATCCCAACCAACGTAGTCTATGGCAGTCGATCAATTGCTCCAGTGGACGACCGATTACCTAAGACTCTGCGCCTAACCTCAGCATTCCTCATTGGGTTTTCCCACTAGACTCGTGCAATGCTGTGTGCCCCGGATGTGGGCTTTTCGTCCTCTCACTTTTGTGGGAAAACGATGGAATCTTAAGCCATGTGTAATGGGTTATTACGAAACGAAGTAATCTATTTGACGAGTCCCGTTATAATAGACTTGGAAAAATAACAAGAGAGAAGAAGGCGGTAAAACAGTAAAAAAAACTGATAAGTGAAAGTTAAAACAATTAACTTTGAAGTTTCGTATATCAGTTAGTATCGGTTGGGGTGCGGTCGAACTATTCCGTGCACAGTCGCTGTGTTGGGTTCTTTATCCAAGTTTATTTCGGAAAACAATTGCTTTATCTTTGAAGTGCAAAATTGTCGAAGTTCGAGAAATCAGATATTATATTTTCCTTGAACAAGAATGCTTTTGATAATGGTACCAAAGTTCTGCACTGACAGCAGAAAAATACATTCACGTACCATGTGTATCACTGAATGAACTGTAGACACTCAATTATCTGCTTTCACTTTCTAAGGTTGCAAAAATGTTGGTATGTTTTTATTCTCATCATGATATGTTTCATGAATTCACACATTGGTTTATCACGCGTGAACGTTTCCATACGGTCGGTTGAAGAAATATACACTTACTATCATTATTTTGCTTATTCAGTTTTCCGGACCTTGAATAGCTCTGGTAAGCTTTTCCCCTCACATTTTCATAATCACGGCAGTGGCACCTTCAGCAACATTGATAGAAATGAGCGACTTTCTGCTTTTTACGGTGTCTGTTTTGATCTCTACTTCTTTTTAATCATATACAAAACCAGAGGTGTCTCAGGTCGCTTCTCAGAAAGCCAGTAGCTCACCGTTTATTCTCGTAGCGGTAATCGTTTTATCCACCAATCTATCTATTGTTGCAATCTCTATAGGGGGTTTTTCCCTGCACTTTGCATTTCGCTGTCCTTTCACCTTTGTCTAATCTTTTTGCGCGCACGTCCACCTCATTAGTTTTTCATTTGCTGAGGCCGAAGACCGATCATAAACCGCTCATCGTCAGTTACAGGCTTGTGCACGTCGATCATTAAAGCCACCGTTTGGTGCACTGCTTGGATTAAGGTTTGCGCATAGTTCTCTTAAACCGATCATTTATTTTTCACAGTTTTCTCCGAAACTGACGGATTACCGCGTTCTCTCATTTCTGTTTGTTTGAGACTTACACTACACCATAATATAATTGCTTAGCACACGGGCGAAATCTCCAAGGCCAAACATTTTTGTGTATAACTATTCTATCGTCTGTCACGAAATTATATCTACCAACGGTATTCCTCAATGATTTCCGCACTAACAAAGTGTAAATTTTCTTCTGCATTCGGCAACTGTTAGAGTTCAGTTCACTCCCGACTGTTTGTTTATTTTCACGAGAAACGTCGTTAGCCACGCATTTTTCAGTTAGAAATATCCTGGCATTAATTTGCTGTAAAATACAATGCAGCGTACTCCACTGATCGCTTCAAAACTCGCAATGCATACAAAATTAGTAAGAATAGTTAAAGTTGGCAGGGCTTGAGTCTATCTTGATGGGGAGAGCAACGTATACCTCTATGGTCAACATACAGAACAAACAATCTAACCGCAAAGCAAAACTTTCAGAGCATTCTGGATTTACAAGAAGTGATAGTAAGAACGCCACTGCTGTCGGTTTGCTGTCGCATCCTTCATTGTGTCCAACAAACCAGTTGCAGAGTCTTTTGAACCCCACGATTGAAGACGAGAGAAACCTGCTCTGCGTAAAAGCTTTGTGCATTTGTCAACGCCTAGTATCCGCCTCACCTGATGATCTCCTCGTTGTTTTCTCCAGCCCGAAGCTGCGATAGCGAATCAGGCGCTGTGCGTCAGACGCGAATTGGACATGCGCAAAACGTGCCCTAACCAGCGAAGCCTACTAACCCGACTGAATGCGCTATCCTGGATAAACTACCAAACGTGCTCACTCTGTCCCACATGGGCTAAACTACGTAAACACCGATAATCGAAAATTTCTAGTCGATGGATATCACAACTGTAAAACAAAATGAACAAACGGTAGCACAATATACACGACCTTTCAACTTCAGTGAAACATCGCGTCTATGCTACAGGTGTTGAAGTCCTGCGTACACTATTGAAGCCTTGAAAATGCCTGCAATTATCTCATTGGCTGCTCTACTCTCATTGGTCACACAACTATCTAAGTAGGGGACGAAATCTACTATAATCAATTCCTGGTCATTTAGTTTCAAAGCGGGACCAGGCGCCACCTAGTCTTGCAGCATCACCTTGCACCTTTGCAGCTGCCCGTAGCTCATCAACTTGGGACACTGGTTTATCGTCTTTTCATTTCGGCTGTCATATGGTAACCTTCATCGCTTGGGATAGTTGGAGTTTTGGAGTTTGACAGTTTTCCATTTCTGACGGTTGATGGTGGGATCGTTGTAAATAGTGGTCTAGCCCGAATTCGTTGACCGAACGCAAATCTAAGCCTGTCATGTTTGGCTTCTCTATGTTTGTCTATTTGTTTTAAATGGTCTCCAGCCCCACTGAGTTGAAGGCTTACGCCCTTTTTTCGATAAGTCATTAAGAAAGTACCGGAGAATGTCACGGAACCAATACAAACGACAGAGTTGGAGCAGTTTGGATGGCTTTTCGTAGTTTTAGCGCGCCAGTTTGACTTTAGTACTAGAAACCCAATGGCTGCAACTGACATTCTGTGTTTGGTTTAGGCACCGGTAGTTGAGTCCCTTCATCCTTTTTACATCTTCCGTTCATAATAGACAAGTTTCATGGACATTGATCAGGCTAGAGTGAATAACAAAATGAAATTTTTCGTCGAAAAACACCTCGCGGTTCATCACCTTTGGTTTGTATCTCAGTTACGAGAATGCTATTTTTATGGTGACCATTTGAAGAATATTATCTTTGGATTCCCCTTTGAATTAATAAAAATCATTCCTGTCAACGAGATACACAAAGCTCAGTTAACCGGATATGATTGCTGATCAATGATGTTTCGCTCTTCTACTGTTGATCACTCGTATTCTTACCATTGATCGGTTTCCTCTTTGAGGTATGTGATAAGAGTTGTCGCACAGTGATCACGTTTGGTTGTTATAAAAACAAATGACATCATTNNNATCATTTTATCGAAGGCGTTATCTGGTAAAACAACCGGTGAATGTAGACCTCGATTATCTTGCCGTGGAAGTTTTCTTTCCTAACTCCTTTCCTTTCTGTACCTCTTCATACCCGGTGAAATCAATCGAAGGCCTTCGGTCACTTTTTCGACATGTTTCTAGTTCGAAACAACAGACCCGGGGCGATCCGCGTTCGGAAAGGGTTACGGTTGCGACCAGCTCACCACCACCATCAACAACCCGACTCAGTCAGACATCACCGAGTCCCACTATCACGACCAACAGCAATCCTTCACCTTCCGTTGTTGCGCGGAAACATCATTTCGTTCGCGGCCCACCAAATAGCGAGTTACACTCAGCAGTCCGTGTAGAGGCCGGTGGCGAGTCACAAGCATCCACAAGCACCACTCGATCAACTCGAAGTAGTAGTCTGTCGGATCGGGATATCAAAGTCACTCTCGCGCAGGATGTACATTCGACCGAGCCACCTGGATCACTGGACGGTCGAGCGTCGTTTACCTCACCTTTCTCTGATCGTGGTTCTTTGATGGTCGTCGAGTCTAGGAGACGACATCAAGAGTTTTCTTCTCCCACTCAGGGTGAAGGAGAGTGAGTTTAGTTACTCGCATGATGGTTTCTTTTCATCAAATGTAAACAACAGTCGCTTGTGTTTCTTTTCAGTATCCTGTTAGCTTCACTTTTATCAATCGTCTTATCTTCATTGCTTTCTTTTCTGTAAAACATATCAAGCAATTATTTTCTAGGGATTGACAATTGGCTGTTAGAAATATTAAACCATGCGCTTGGCTAGCTTAGCGTCTCACGATTTTGGCCTCAACTCGATCGCTACTGCTTACCCAGTCACTTGTAATGGTACAAAATAATTTCTTTCTTGATCAAATGCCTCAATCGCTCCATTCTTGATCAGTAGACCCTCTCTCTTACGTGAATCACGGTACCTGGAACCTGCAAAGTTGCGATCCTGAAATTCTTTCTCTTCCCATTCGGAACGTTGGTGTTCACATCGATGTCACTGAACTACTTCGGACTATAAAATCGGAAGCCTATCTATACTACCCAAATTTGGTATTAAATAGCTTTGGCATCACTCGGCTTAGCATCAGGCGCCCATCTTGTGGTTGTTTGCTTCTTCAATCCTTGTGTTCATGCTTCCGATAACCGAACAAGATGTTCGTGACCACAACTCCTCCATCTTCGGATTTTTACAATTTTTCTCAATAAAATCACAATATCTTCTATCCATTACTCATTTCTGTTGTGAATGCTGCACCTATGACTTGGAATACAAACTTCATTGTTATGTGTATTTTCGCCACGAAATTAAACCCTCGTTCAAAATCTTATCATTTCCCTCGTGACTGTTTTGATCGCTAAGTGTACCCACAGTTGGTTGTGTACATTCATTCATCGGTCGTTCCTCTTTCCCTTGTTTCCCCTGCACAATTATCCATACTATTTTCACTCCCAACCCACCCTACGTTTTCCGAACCGCAGTTCCATATCTTATACAGACCGGTTCGATCAACCGATTGCAGCCGGCACTCCCGGAGCTGTAACAAGCTCGGTAACGATCGTGAGAAATTCCGCAAACACTTCACGTTCGAGCACGCAGTCCAGTCGCTCCTTGAGCCCGACAATAAAAGTAAGCGCTACTATGGTAAATTGTCAACGGTTCGGATCATTGTGTTACATTCATCTTGATTTCTTTCCGTGGGCGCAAAACATCCCACATCCTATAACCTTCTTCCACACTTGCTTGCATCGTCATCTTCGTCCCCTGGTCACCATGTGGACAGGTTGGACTACTTGGACAGGAAACAAAACGCGTGGAATCAGTCAATAAAACTTTGTATTAAAACACTGGGTATCCAGATATAGGCCGCTCTTGTTATGTCTCGCCAGTTTCATCTTTTCAACGTCCAGTTCCAGCTCTCTTTCTCTCAACTCTTCCGAATCAGAAACCAACAAGAGTTACGTGTAAGTTGTACTCAAGGGCGTGCAACTGCATCAAGGTTCAATAAAAAACGTGCTCGTTATATATATATATATATATCCATCACGACGAGACTGCAACTTGACGTGGTGTGATGGCTTGCGTGCCTCAATGACCCTGTGAGCTACACAGGATGGCCTCTCACATCCTTAGATCCAATCATGCCTGAAAGGTCAACGGGTAGAGGCCAGAAAAAGCTCAGTCTCACAAAGCCAGCTGCTTGGGCACCTCCTGGCTTCCTTTTCTATCCACATCCGCCCCTGGAGAGGCCACTACAGCAAATAATCACAGTGAGGGGCAGTTTACCGGTCAAAAAAGCCCCCACTAGATGGACCTAGGAGCGGGGTACCTGGGGCTTCCTCTCGACGGTAGGAGAAGTCTTCGCACTTCATTGGACAGCTACCGCCCGCCCAAGCTGGGCAGCCCCCAGCCAA